AGGAAACAATTCTCCCCCTCCACCTCCTCTCTGAGCATTCGGCACGGGGACAGAAGAAGGTGCCGCCGGTGCTGAGTGACGTGGCAGCACAAGGGCTGGCTTGGGGGACAGGGACAACCTCCGCAGCAAGGGTATCGCCTCCACGGCACCTCTCCAGCATCCTCGGGCGTGGGATGCGAAGCCCACCCAGCCCTGGGGCTCACAGCACGGGTCAGCTCCAGCCTGTGTTGACAGTTTTCTGCCCCATCGTTTCTGTCCCTTTGGGCCAAGATCGATTCGATTGCGGTCACTCCCCAAGAGCTTGGCTCTGCTGTTCTCGATTCCATCCTTAGTGTCCACAAAATGTTTTAACAGATATTATCAGACTATTTTTAATGGCTTGCTGCTCTGCCCGGCTCCTCGGAGTTGACTGCAAGCTGACAAATTGGCTGGAGGCCTTCATTTGCCAGCTTCGCTCAGAGATTTTATTATTTTTCAATTAGGAGCCCTGATACACTGTCAATCCTCCCGCTCAGCCAACGAGGCTCTGAGAGCTGAGTAAATCAGCTGGAAATGTGAAGAGTCCTCTAGCCCTTTAGCTGGTGAACTTTTTTGAGCATATGTGCTAGAAAGCATGTTTGAAATGATTATATTTTACTCCAGATAACCAGCTTTTCCCCACTTTATGTTCTCTGAGCAAGGTGGGCACCGAGCACACCTTGGGTTGGTATGAACTGACTGAAGCTCTGCTGGGCTTTCACGGAACTGAGGGTCTGTCCTTGGCTTTTTAAGCTCTCCCTGCCCAAGGCAGGGGCACAGACAGTTCCCTGCCAAGCGTGAGAACAGACACAGCAATTAAACGGCCTTCACGACTGTCCATAATCAGGGGCAATTTTCCTCTCACTAATCACTCTGAAGCCACACTTGATGGAGCATCCCGTTGGGTGCCTGCTCGAAAGCCCATCTGCCCCAAATCTCCCCACCTCAGAACCTGAAGAGATGGGCATCAGACACGGCACTGCGGGAGCTCCAGTGCCCAAAAACGCACGAGACGCATGACTTCTGCTCGGTTGGTGGTTTAACCCCTGGTTTTCGGCCACGGGAAGGAATCCCTCCCTGCAAGCAGCAGTTCTTGCACCGTCAAACCATTTTGCTGAGGGGCTGGGTGGGTGCACGTCGCCCACCCAGGGGATAAAGCTGGCGTGGCGTGAGCTGGAGATGTCTTTGGAGAATGGTAATGCACACGTGTATTTCTCTTAAATGGAGCATCTGCTCTAGGGCAGATGCTTAAAATACTTAAGAATAACAAGAAGCAGGTTAAAAAGGATAATCCTACACTAAAGTTGCCTTAATTAGAAAATAAGCGTCCCATGCAACTTGCAATATACTTTTGCATTTTCATTTTTCCAGTGGACTTGCTTTTAAAAAATATATTTACGAATCAAATTATACCAAAAAAATGAAACTTCCTGGTCAGCACAAAAAGAAAAGGACAGAACTAAATATATTATTACTCTGCTCCAGAGAGCTGATCTGCAATTTAAAGTAATGCCAACATCTGCACATGAAATAAGTTTTATGTATAATCTACCCTCTCTCAAAACAGCTTGTACAGTTTGAGGAAGATTTTCAACAAAGTATAAAATGAGAACAGCTAATATTCACACCCAAACTGTACACTTAATTTGTAAGTAAATTAATAGTTGCAGTCAAATACGGTTGCTTTTTTGACCTTGCTCTGTTGTTCTAGCTAAAAACAAAGGAGAAACCAAAGAAAGAAAGTTATATGATGCTCCAGTAATTTACAATCCCTTCCCAAGGTGCTGTGCCAAGCTCGCTGGTGCTCCTTTGTTCGGGGCCCCAGTCAAAATGCTGCTGCGGGCCCACAGAACATTTAGACGAGCTGCACACAACCGCGGCTGAAAGGGGTTCGCTGGTGGTCTCGGAAGGGAGGCAGCACCGGAGGGAAACGGGCAGCACCGACTCCACGAACCTCCTCCCTACCGGAAAACTGCAGACTCTGGCTTTTTGTACCACACTAGGTCACCTACATTACAGATTTTTAAATTTTTTTTTTAATACTGCTGGGTTTATTTTGTTCATTTTTATCCAGTTTGCATTTTACACTGACTCCGTTGACTAGCCCCATTGTCACACAAGCACTCCCTACAAGTGTCTGAAATCAGAGTCTTAAAAATCTGCCAGTCAAGAACACAAAGATTTCAACAACAGCAGCAACAATAATGAAAACCAAAGGACTGTCCCACCATTTGGTCCTCCGAGGGCTTTATTTCTCTGCCTCTAACTGTCATTTAAAAAGGAAGAGACAAAACACTCAAATCTCTCACTCTTTAAAAAAAAATAAATCATAAATATTTCTCTGTCCACTGCATTTCTTTTGCTCCAGCAGTAATTTTGGCAGATTTCGCTCTTAGAGTGGTGAAGTTAATAGCGGGGGACAAGCTCCATAAAAGAATTCTTGTTATAAAAGGCTTTAGGTACCCATTTTATTGTAAGAATTTCTTACTCCGGACTTATTTCTTTTCGTTAATGAGTGACTTTGCTTAGTACCAGAGGCAACCGAACATCCAGCAAATTTCACGACACGTTTGCTTATTAAAAAAAAACCAAAAAACCCCCAACAAACAAAAAAACCCAAACAACTGTAAATTAAAAGGTGACTTTGTATCTTACTCATCTGGAAAATGTGTGCTTGTCATATCTGCTTGACATTACAAGAATGAAGATGTGGTTTGGACAGTAACAAACAATGACACTAGTCAACCTCATCAGGAGACATGAAATAAAGGAATGACAATGATTGATGGCAGCTATTCATTTACAGATATTTCTAGAAAACTCTTCGCTGGCCTGGCCGGGCAAAGCGGGAGAAGTTTTGCAGCCCGAGCGGCGCTCGCCGGCAGCGCAGGGCGACG